CAGAGTTATTTGAATTGTATGATATAAAATTTGCGGTAGGCAAATTAGGTGGTAGAATATATTTAAGCAGGTTGTAAACTAAAGAAATCGTGTGGGTCTGTGTCGGGGCATACCACCGTTGGTATAGCATGAAACGTCTTTTTAGCGTGTCTTTTTAGTGTCTTTGTTTTTTATATATATGCAGGTATATTTGAAAACAAAATAGTAAAAAATAGTAATATTTGAAGGTAGCAAAGGAACGATATCGTATATATCGTTTTTCAGACACTAACAACGGTTACTATGGCAACCGAATGCAACCTATTTCGTTACGGTCTAATTTTTTGACTGGCACCCGTATGTTTCGGTGTGATTTTAAACACGTCAAAAATATTAATAAATTATTTTAAACAGACAGACATTCTGTGCTAAAAAAATATGTAGAGATTTCAAGCTCAGGTAAGTGCTGTGATTGTTGTGCCTATTGTTTCTTCTACATTTAAAATTCAAAAGAATTAGGTGAATTAAATTTCATTATTTGGGCCTATCGCCATCTACTAAATCTGTTTGTATTAATATAATATTATAAATGTGAGAGTTTGTGAGTATGGATGTTTGTTACTCAATTACGCCAGAACGGCTGTACGGATCTGGATGAAATTTGGCACAGAGATAGATTATAGTCTGGAATAACATAGGGCAATGTTCCGGAAAAATGTACGGTTCCCGTGGGATAGGTATGTTTTTGTTTTCCTAGAGATGAACCAGATCGAAGCTAGGGCGAGCCTCTACTCTTGCATATATTTTTTACTTCCAAATTGATTATACAAGTCAAATTTAAGAATGTTCATTTGTAGAACATATTGCTAACAAACTTAGCTATCTCCCAAATTGTGTATTATTATATTGGTATTGGATATACAAAACTCCGGAACGCCAGAATTAGTGTATATATGAAATAATTTACAATTTTGCTGTTCACGTTGTTTATATTTTAAGACGAAATGAACTGATCGTAACAGGTCAATCATAGACGTCATATTATGTTAACTAAAACAGTAATATATGTATATATAAACATATACATAATATATTTATGTTTTTTTATTATATAAAAATTGACAAGGACTTGAACTATTCAGATTATAATTTTATTGAACGAAAATGTTCATTTCAGTATAGTTGTAAACTAGTAATTAAATAAAATTATACTATCGTTAAAGCTATTAATGTCAAACAGGATTTATCCATTTTCGGTTTAGTTTAAAGGCAATAAAAAGATAAGAAAAAAACAATAAACATAATTCTGATTGACTTTATATAAGGTAGCATTATTTGTGATCTAACTTTGTAAAAGATAAAAGGAGATAACGAGCGGTAGGCGTGTGAGGCCAACGTGTAGTTGAAGAGCTGTTATTCTATTGAACATGGAAAGTACGCTAAGTTTGAGGGAAAATAATTAAATGTATATATATATATATTATATATATATATATATATATATATTATATATATATCAAGTGGATACTATAATAAAATTTAAATAAATATATTATTTTAATATATGATAAACTAGCGACTCACCCTCGCTTCGCTCTGGTTCGTCTGTAGGTACGTTTTAACGGTTAGTATGGAATACATAGTTATGATGAGCTGTTGTTGGTTGTATTATAACGTGTTTTCCCGTGGGAATGAGATAATCTCCCGCGGTAAAAAGTAGCCTATATCACTCTACAGCCCTCCAAATATATACATACAAAAACTCACGCCAATCCGTCACTCTGTTTCGACGTGAAAGAAGGACAAATAAACATATGTTCCCATTTATAATATTAAGTATGGAATATGAATTGAAGGAAGGCATAGTAGTGACCATGTCTAAAGCACTTCACTAGATCTATCGATATTTTATTTATAATCTATACGTATAATAAAATTGTAACTAAGCCGAATCTGTACATGGAATATTTTTTGGAAAATCTTATTGAAATAAACATTATTATCGATACAGAGGCCGAGTCTATAGTTTTTAGAATTTTTGTATGTCTGTCTGTCTGTTACCGCATCACAGAAAAACCACTAGAGAGGTTTTGATGATATTTAGTATGGTGATAGCTCGTTATCGGGTTCAACATATAGGATACTTTTTATCGCGGGAAAATATCTCATTTCTGAGAAAAAATACAAAAACTGCATTGTAAGAGTATACTAATATGTAAAACCTAAGAATTTGGTTTTTGGTCATCTGAAGGCGGGCGGAGCCGCGGGCAATGCTAGTCATGATATATTTGATTTATAAATTTAAACAGTTTATACAACCACAGCGACAGCTACTGTCGATGACTAAATTAATTACAATTTGTTCATAAAAAGATATTATGTGAAAGCATATAATACTTATAAATTATCATGCGGAGTTCTATTATTATTAATGATAAATATTAAGCACAAACGTATTGAAAGTCGTTTTAGTTGTTTTAAGTAGCATTTGTTATAATAGTTTTTAAATATTGCTTTAAAAATTATCGTCTTTTTGAAGTAATCCTTAGAAAAGCTAGAATAATTACAGTATTAATATTTAATGCAATTTTATTTTTTATCTATAATATGAATAAAATGTATATATATATATATATATATATATATATATATATATATATATATCATTGATTCCAGTGTAAAAAAATCCCGTGTATTGGAAGATTCATTAGTTATCATTTTTAAACTATAAGTTTGTAAGAAGCTATAGTTATAAGCTTAAAAGTTTCTGCTGCATCATTTGAGATAAAACTCTTACTTTTATGATGATATACTTTTAAGGCATAATTTAACCATTTCAAAAATAATAATGAAATTTTGTTCAAAATTCATTTAAATGTAGAGAAAAAAAACATATTTTTAAAAAAGTACCCAATTTGAGAATCTCCTCCGTGTTTAAAATAGGTTAAATGTGAATAAACACATAACAAACTATACAAGCATTTGTAAATCTACACGTATAATAACATTTTAAATGATTCGAATCTGTACATTGATTATTTTTTGGAAAATTTTATTGATATAGTCATCATTATCGATACAGAGGCCGAGTCTATAGTTTTTTGAATTTTTGTCTGTCTGTGTCCTGTCTGTCTGTCTGGGAATGCATCACGAAAAAACTACTGTACAGATTTTGATGAAATTCGGTATAATGATAGCTGATTATCCGGGTCAACATATAGAATACTTTTTACTGCAGGAAAATATCTCATCCCTGAGAAATGTGTAATAAACTTTAAAACGTAACTAGGGATGAATCTAGAAGATATAATATATGTTTTTAGTAGTAGGTTTTATAAGAACATATTGTTATTAGTAAAGCGAGTAAAGATTATAGTTTTTATGGTAAAAACGAACGATATATAAATATTTTGCAAGCATTGTCACATGACGTACTAAATGTAGATTTTAGTACACACAAAAATCTAACTTGCGTATCTCAAAACTTAACACAGTACCTTAAATCGTTCAGAAGATGAAAATAAAGATAAAATAAGGTCGTAACAGCTCTTAATATTATCAAACCTTCCAATATAAAATATATATTTTCATTCATAAATATGTAGAGATGTACATTTATAGTCATTTTACGGCATTTTAATGAAATTTCTTCACAAAAATACTGGGTATTTAAATTGGAGTTGTTATTTTTAGTTGAATCCGGGTGTCTTGTAAGAATGTTTGATTTAACAGTCCATTTGCTTGTTAGAAACTGTTATTTCAATAAGTTTGGTTTTGTAAGTTTGACTTTATAAGCTTTTGTATTGACTATTCAGTTCCATACAATATCTGGCTGTTAATACATTTATACATATATAAAAATTACGCTCAAGTATATTTTATGTTCTCTAAGTGGTTCTGCTCGCATAAAAATAAAAAATATATATGTACCTATGAAGTATTTTCTATCTTGAAGTGTAATTTATGTATCCATGAATATAAAAATTACAAAACAAACGATGCACAAACTAACAAATAAACAATACAAATGTAGAGTCTGTTTTAGAACAATATACTAAATTGTAGTGCTTTTGAATCAACATTATATATAATATGTAATATTCATATATGCACATAAATAATCTATAAATATATTTTAATTGGTAAAGTAATGAAAAAATTAACTTAACATAGTATTTAAATAAGAAATTTACAAATAAGCACACTAATAATAAATAAATATACGGCTATAGCTGTTTTTTATATTTTTTACCATAAACTAAGATGTTATTCGCGCGATATAAAAATATTGTATATTGTTTATTACGGAGATGGTAAAAAATAAAACCGAACCATATTAAAAGTAATTGAAATATAATTGATTAAGTATGTCCAACAAAGTAATTTTATGTATTACATATACAGTGTTATGTTGTTTAAATTATTATGACACTAAAATATACTAGTACATTTATTACGAGTGTAAAGTTTTTGTTGTGTAGTTATTGACTGAAGAAGTTTGACGCAATGTGAAAGTATAATAAATCTTGACTCAATAAAGAATGTATTCGTAAAATCAAATATATTTGTATGCGTTAATCGAATCGTCTCTACCTCGCTTTCGTTTCTAAGCCTTTACTCTATTGTAAAAAAAAAACAAATCAAACTAACACGAGTAATATTTTCAATTTAATTGTTTAAACTATGTTATTTCTATTCATAATAATTTTTACGGACTTAGAAAACGAGTATCACTTTAATTTAAAACTTTAAAAGACACTATAGTTGAAGCAACTCCAAAATATTTGACTATCCTTTAAAAACTTGGCGTAATAGTAAACACTGTATAATAACCTGGCAGTATTGGAGAATTGCCAATAAAATATATTTTTTTATTGAATGGAGAACGATGTGAGCGTACCATAAAAGTTTATAAACAACACAAACATATATAATTGGAAGTCGCTTAGCAGAACAATGTAGCGGCGTATTTACCTGGTTTGGTGGCGATCCACGGAAGGCGAACTGGGATGTCATTTTTAACACACAAAGTTCTGGTCACAGTTCTCACTCACTTCACAGTTCCACAATCCCGGGGCGAGTCCGGTGCATGACGTGATCGATCGTATCCGGATCCGGCGGAGCGTACAGCTCGCGTAGAGTCGGCGCGTGGTCGCGCGCGCGGCGGCAGTGGGTAATGCGGTAGCTGCCCGCCAGGTGATAGTAATTGGCACCGCCGTCCCTCTCTGGCGGCCGTCCCTCTCTCCGCGCACACGCACAGTGTAGAGCCGTGTGCTCGCGTACGACCGTGTGGGAGCCGCGTCTGTGTGCTCTACCGCACACCGATCCTTCTTTTCACGCTCGCGTCGCCGTTTGACCCCGCGCAACGACGCTCTCGATTTTTGCGCCGCGATGGGTGGCGCCCGTTCGGGGGCGTTACGGGGGGCTAGGTGGGGATACACTCCTTTCTTTTTTAAAAGCTTCTCTTTCTTTTCTCGTATTTTTTACGCCGCTGTCGGTCGGTCCCTTTTATTTCATTTTATACTTATATATTGTGATAATTAACAGTGACGACGCACGACGCTTCGCGACTTAATGATAGCTTTGCATGTGATTAAAGGTAACCACGACATTCGTAATTTTTATTTTCCGATAACGTTGAACTAGGATAGCTATAGAGCGTTGTGCGGTTTGTTGGGCACTCGATAGGTAATATTACTGGGGTCGCTTTGCTGTTGGAAGCGTGTTAGCGGTGACAGTATTAAACGGTCTTTCCACTGTGTTCGTCCTGGTCGTATCTGTATTGCGTAGAGTGTTATATAGAAATTGTTGCCCACAACGCTCTTGATTCTCGATTTGAACCGGCAACATACATTATATTTTTTGCGGTAGCTGTACAAACAATCGAGCAATGAATGCGTTTATTTCTGACGTATTTACTTAAAACGACCATGTTAAATATATAAATATGTATGGCTCGTATGATAGATAAAAAAACAATTATTCCATAGTATTTATTGAATTATTAATTATTAAGAATAGTATGTGTATTGTAAATTTTTCACTCTATATTAGTCAATACTAAATACACAAGATTATAATGTATAAATATAAAAAAAGTTTAAGTTTGTATTAAAATTTAAAACACCACCGGTATTCTTAACAAAGTAGCAATTTGTAAATTAAATAATAAAATGTTTTAAGTGAGTAAAAAGCATCTAAAAAATGAATATATTGTCGCTGTTCACGTTTTTGTCAGAGTTTAAATATTAATGAATTTGTTGATATTATTTATGTCTCTAGTTTGAATAAAATACCCATTATTTATTGTCGTTGAACAAAACTACAATGCCGCCAAGACTGTCAGCTGTTAAGAACACCGAGCGAATTATAGTACAAACAGGGTGACTGACTGAGCTTTAATAGAACCTAACTGAAGATGCACTACAATTAAGCTAGTACAATAAGGCGAGCGAGTGTCGAAATAAAAAGCGCAACGTATTCAATCGATCTGTTCCCCTCTTCTTATCGCGCGAATATTTCACACTGAACGCAAAAAACTCACACAAATATAAAATATTCAAACGGTATAACATAAAATAAATTATCTTAGGTGAGGTTTGCTAGTGTGCGTGGCCCCCTCCCTGGGGCGGGTCGCGCGTCCGACCAATAGGTGATCTTGACGCAGACCGCCGGCTCATTCGCGACGCAACACCCGCCACCGTCGCACGTCTCTCCCATCACTCACTCACAAACGAACGATTTTAATTAAAAAAATCTCTAAATACACAAAAAAACATCTAATCATCATACACGATAATATTGATTCATGGCATTCATTATAACATGGTAGAGTCGAATGTAGAGCTACTATACAAGTTATATTTTTTCTTTCATTTAAAATTCTAAAAGATTTATAGATAAAGTGATAATATATTAATAAATGGAAAATGGCAGCTGAAATCTAAAACGTAAAACCTTTTTATTGAACAATCACGCGTTGAACGGCCGTTGAAGTTTTAGAGGGCATTAATTAGTTCCGATGGGATTAAGCACAGTGAACGAGCGTAAATACATTATGCTCATTTGTTCGGGCAAACGGCTATTTTTGTTCCAACATTTAAATTTAGGCATTATGCTTGAATGGAATATAGTGAATTCAATGAAAGATTAAGTCCATCACTACTAAATTAAATACTAAATACGTTAACATAATTAATAATTGAACTGACAATAAAATAAGCTTTTTATTAAGTTATTTCTTGATTATTTTAGTATTTTAATGATAATTTAAACGTGTTATAATTTATTTTGAGTTTTATTATTGTAATAACTAATTTTGTCATTATTATTTAAAAAAATATTTTTTTGAATTAAATTTTTGAATATAGAGACAAATAGTGTGTTCAAATAATAATTTTATTTATCTGTATTTAAGGATGTAGCGTCCTCCTTTCACAAATACACTCTATTCAATAGCTCTATTTCACCCCTCGAGTATAGGTTTGTTTGAAGGCTTAGTAAGGACGTTATTCGTTTGGCATTTATTTTTTCTTTACTTATAGTTTTAGAATGGATATTCAATGACGAAGTGATTTTATATTTATTATTCTTATCTATACATATAATAAAATTCTGAGTTGTCTAAATATTTATTACTTAGTACTAGATATATATTACCTAAATATTTTTTGGCAAATATTATTGAAATAGTCATTATTATCGATACAGAATCTGTAGTTTTTAGAATTTTCGTCTGTCTGCCTGTCTGTTTGGGAAAGCATCACGAAAAAGCCACTGGATCTCCTTTATGAAATTTGGTATCGATGATAGCTGGTTATTTGAGTCAACATATAGGATACTTTTTACTGCGGGACAATATCTCATCTCTGAGAAATCTGCACTAAAAGTTAAAAGGTAAGTAGGGGCAAAACCGAGCGGACCAAGGGTGAGTTGCTAGTAAAGATATAAATATGTTATTTTTATATGGAAGCGGGCACGTCTTATATGAAATGTTCTTAATGAAGTGAAATTTAATTAATTTATTTTATTTCTGAATTAATTATAATTTTAGTAGAAAAAAAATATCAGTACAGTTATATCTTTGTCGTAATTTTATCTTTTAAATATTTTTACTATAATATAATATGTAAGTTTAGTTTAGTCATAGAAATACTGTAGAAATGAGATGGATGTAAGTAAGTTGGTCAGTGAACGAGTGAAGTCCGATATATTAAGTAAGATGGAACCTTTGACAAAACCATTGAAGAACAGTGCGTAAATATTCATTAAACTAAAATTGTAAGTAAAACTACGTTATTTTCGATTAAACGTATACCATAAACTAAAATCGGTTTTAAATTAATTATACTTAATGTAATAAAATGAACAAAATGGAGTTATTTAAAATATTTATGATTTTAATGATTTTTTGAGTATCGATTTTTTTTTATTTTTATATTATTTCACCTTTTCCCTTATAGTTAAAAAAATATTTTCTCTTTGGTCGTTTTTCGAAATAAACATTTGAATGATTAATAATAATAAGGCCCGCCTTAGATTCGAACGTCTGACCTCCTCTTTAATATGGCCATCGTAATAACTAGTTATAAGAATCAAATACACGCTCTACTGAGTTTATTAACATAGTTTTTTTATTATTTATTCGTAATAATACTCAGAGTCCTACAAAAACGTATCGTATTTTAAAAGTTAAATGCATTAGTGAAACTCTCTCAATAACAAAACGAAAAATTTTAATTTACATTCATAATACGTTATAGATGTTTAAGAAGTAATACATACATATAATAAAATCTTTTGGAAATAGTCATTATTATCGATAAAGAGGCCGAATCTATAATTTTTACAATTTTGTTTGTCTGTCTGTTTGTGTGGACGCATCACGAGAAAGCTATTGGCTAGATTTTGATAAAATTTGGTGCGATGATACATAAATTTGGTATGAACATATAGTATTTACTGCGGGAAAATATCTCATCTTTAAAAAATCTATACTAATCGTTAAAACGTAACGAACCCGAGCGGAACGAGGGTGAGTAGCTAGTTTATATATAAATAGGCAAATACAAAATAATTCAGTACTTTTTTCTAGTCTGTTGTCTACTGATTTTTAGTATTTGTTTAGTAGTTATTGATGAGTTTTAGTGTTATGAACAAAAAAATTGAAAGTCTTTTTATATAGATAGGTAAATTTTATTCATATATTATGTTGCCCTCAAATTATCTATAAAGATTATGCTCGAATTTCAAACACAGGGCGAATACTAGTTTTTAATAAAAATACGCACATCACTAAAATTTAGTATGAAATTTTAATTTTTTTAACGAAACTTAAAATATCAATTAAATTTATATGTTTGGTATATTGTATGTTTGTATCAACGTATTTTATTAACAGATTTTTTATTTTATCAAAAAAATATTTTAAAAGAGCATAACTTAAGTAATTTTAGAGATATTGGGTCGACGATGACTGTTTGGCTTCGGAACTTCTTGTTTGAACTTGTTTGCGTTTGTTTTGTGTAAAATCTACCTTTTTGCGTTTGACCGTAAAACATAAGAGGATGCGACATAAAACAAGTATTTATAATGTTTAGCTTGTTCTGAGGAATTAATTCCAATTTTTATTTGAAAGACATCAATAAATAATTATATTATAGCCTATGTTTATAAATTATATTATATTATATGTTTGTTTGTCTGTTTTTTTTAATTTGAATACTAAAAAAAAAATTTTTTGGTACTAAGGTCTGTCAGACCCACGCCTAAACATATTACTCTACATTACAGTTTGTGTGCTAAATTTTGGATATGCAACCCCTAAAGGGGTAATTATCGTTAAAAATAACGAATTTTATGGAAACCTTGAATTATATGAAATACGTTATTTATAAGTATACGGGCAGTGCCTATTGATATTATGAATTTTATAAGTTAATATGAACATACTAGCGACTGCGACCCTCGCTCCGCTCGGATTTGTCCCTAGTTACGTTTCAACGGTTAGTATAGATTTCTCAGAGATGAGATATTTTCCCGCGGTAAAAAGTATCCTATGTGTTGACCCGAATAACTAATAACATCATATTAAATTTTATCAAAATCTGTCCAGTAGTTTTAGTTAGACAGACAAAAATTCTAAAAACCATAAATTCGGCACTTGTATCGATAATCATGTTTATTTCAATAAGATTTTCCAAAAAAATGTACAGATTCCACTTAATTAGAATTTTATTATATGTATAGATTTTCTTACAAAGTAAAGATACTACTAAGGTAGCTCTCATATTTATTTAATTTATCAACATTATAAACAAATACTGTATAAATTTTATAATTAACATAAACTAAAATGCAAATAACGCACGCACAAAATATAAAAATAAAAATAACATGAAAATGGTAATATTTTAGCCATTAAAGTATAAATTATCATTAAGCTTTGATCTCTTACCGTACGTTGCCAGATCATATCCTAAAGACAGCTGGAGATAAGATGGTAAATTTCTCGCCTCAGATTTTAAGAATAGCAAAGGAAAATAAAAAGCCGATATTTGCTTTGCAGTGAAATGAGTCCCTGAACGTCAGATTATTAGCGTTTGAAAGCATTTGTGTACTCGAAGGCGTAAATCTACATACATCGTGAAAGCTAAGACTGATATACCTATATAGGGTCGCCTCCACTGGAGTAGATTACAAATAATGAATAAAATTGCATACGAAATGAATCAACCGTCCCGTACGGTGTTTGAGCAGCCTTATTGCCAGTAAATAGTATGGGAGACGTGGAGTGCTAAACTGGCGTCAATATCCTCAGTATATATAATAATGCCTGTTGGTATGTTTGTATGTACGTACTTTGTACTTCAATACTACCTAATACTTCTATAAGTTTGCAATGGAAGGATTGAAATATTATTTTTATATGTAAATGTTTTATGAGTGAGTAGCCTTAGAGTTAAATTTGAATGAATTTTAAAGAATAAGGATAATGCGATAAATTTTCCGGTATATCCAAAATTTTTGGCTTAAAACATAATTTAGATTTTATTTTTAAATAATTTTTAAAATAATTATCTTGTTCTTGAGATGCGATTACTAATGATCGGTATTTTATTTTAACTTATATGAATATAGAATAAGTTATGAAAATTGTAAAAATTAGGTAAGAAATATTGTAGTGTGTGAGATTTGTATATTTTCAAACCTATACACATAATAAAATTCTGAGTCGGATGTGTACATTAAATATTTTGCGAAATTTATTTTAGAAATAGTCATTATTATCGATACAAAAA